GCTTCGTGCTTCATTGAATTGCGAGGGAAATACCTTGCTATTTTGTCTATGTTTTCTGGTTTTGCGTCTGCAGTATAGAGCGAGACAGCCTGATTTACAAATTTATCTATTATCTAAGACTATTTTTTTTTAAAGCTCATTCTCTATGTAGATGGATGTAAGATATGTGGATATGTAGTTAAATATGGAAAATAACATGTCCATTGCGAGTCTTACATACAGTCTAGAACTCGATAACTATAATATAAAATCCCAAAGCCCAAACAACAGAAACATGAAATCAGAATCGAAACAAAGAAAACCAGTTAAATGAACAAAACATCAATCTTTACAGAATCCCCCCCATCAAAACAACCCTGAAACAAAAAAGACTTCGCTTCTCTCCAACCTTCTACCTTCTAACCATCCCCCTAACCCTAATCAAATCCTCCCTCCCAAGCTTCTCAACCACCTCGGCCGCAACCCCACCCCTCCGAACCTCATCCCACTCATCCTCATCCATCCCCATAACAAGCGTCATCTGCACACACCGCGCAAAGCATTCACGATATTTATATCTTCCCGGCGCACCAGCAACATACCCAACATCAACAGCAGCGCCAACAAGCCCGGCAACATCCCTCTCAAGTCGCGCCGCGCCCAGCGCATTAATCCGAGACCCGTAAGACCAAAGTCTCTTCTCCAGGAGACGGGCTAGATACGCGATCGTCACGCCGAGGACGCGGTCGAAGGCGGATGGTGTCAGGATGCGCGCGAATGGTGTTAACAGGTCGTTCCATAAGGATGTGAAGCGTGGCTTGACGAGTTCTTTGTTGTCGAAGGATGAGTTTGGACTGTCGGGTTCGAGGGTGTTGGGGTTTGGCGTGTATTCGATGTCTCGGAATGCGTCTGCTAGGATTGGGCGGAGGCGGGGTTTTATGGTGTTGTTGAAGATTACTTGGATTCCGTCCGTTAGGAGGTCGGTTACTTTGCTTTCGAAGGTTGTTGAGAGGGTTTGGAGGGTTTGGTGCACTTTTTTAGCGGTGCTTGGGCTGGCGAAGATCGTGAGGAGGTGGGAGGTTGCTTCTGTGGTTGTGGTGTCGGGTTTTGAACCCGTGTTGTTTTGCACGATCCGTCGGATGTAGTCGACTCCTAGGTCCAGGTTGTTGATTTGGACTAGGAAGGAGATTGTGGTTTGTTCGGCGGGAGGTCCACCTTGTATTGAGCGTGGGTAACACTCGTCGCGCATCTTGCGCTGGGTCATGCCGATGAAATCGGAGCCTAGGACTCGTGAGAGTGTCGGCACTACGTTTGTCACAACTGCTTCTTGGGAAGTAGCGAGTGACTGCTGGATGACTTTGTTGACGATGTACATTATGTCGTCGATGGCTGAGGTGATGTGTGGTGGGTCGGCTTTCAGTGGACGCTGGGGGTTCAGCGTGAGACCTGACGGGGACTCGTCTAGCTGGAAAGCCTTTTCAACGGAACGGCGGAAGAAGAAGGTTGTCATTGCGTTGAAGGGGGACACTAGGCGGTCATTGATCTTTTGGGCGAGAGGTGACTCTCGCAAGAAGCTGGGAAGCTCGAACCGCTTATCGTCGTCTGCTTCATTCTCACCAGAAGACTAGAGAAATTGTTAGTATTGGTATTGCAGGGGCAGAGGTTACAACTCACATTACATGTATCAGCCAGGAATCGACAGTACAGTGACCACCGACCCAGCATGATAGCCATTTCATTCAAGACACCATCGATCTCTTTCATATCTACTCCCTCCTCGTCGGCAGCAGTGCTCGCCCCCATGGCAGGGGATTGTGAACGAGCTGGGCCTGGTCGCTGCGCGGGCAGGAAGCTCTGCACCAAGAAAGTGAAAGCATAGGATTTGATATCCATCAATTTGCGATCCACGTGTCGTTCATCGCTCCAGGTATCAAGAATGATACCACCCTGTACATCAGCCTCGACCTGGAGCCGTTCGATCACTCGCCCCATCTTACGGGGACCATAGTGGTGCTCAACGAGTCCGCCATGGCCATCAATAATCTGCGCGATATGCTCAAACAGCTTGGTAAGCGCATTGGCATAGAAGAACCCATCCTTAGTCTGAGCACCCCCGGTAGCCCCGTTAAGGTTAGCCCGAGCCTTAGCCGCAACTCCCTGGCACACATAACGACCATAAACATCGAGTCCAACCTCAGAGCGACCAATAAGCGGGAAAAGCTTGAAGAACCGCGTAATCTTGGCCCCATCATTCTCCTTAACCGCCTTCTCAAACTCACGCAGGAACAGCCCGCACAGCGACTCCGCCGCGTTATCAAGCGTCACACTTGGTGGGTCTGGCACTTCGGCTGTAGGCACCATTTCCGCAGCAAATGCGCCATTGACTACCGAAGCCGGGATCTGAGCTGCACGGTGCAGGTAGCTGGCGGCGTTCTCCCAGTCCTGGGGTGCGCCCATCGACCCTGCCACGCCCAGCGCACACGCCTTGAGCTCGGCAACCTGCTCAACAACCTCAAGCGTGGCTTTCACCCGCGCCTGCTCGAGATCTAGCCGGCGGACCGCACTGGAGATCCGGTCGGCGGTGCCGGCGGCTTCGGAGAGCATTCCATGGCTGATGGAGCGGGTTGTGCTGGCGTGGGTTCCGATGTTGGCGCGCATCAGGTCCAGCCTGCCTAGCTCACGGGAGAGGTCTTTCTGGGATGTTACCAGGGCATCGAGGCGGGCGGTTACAGACGCTTCTTGGGTGTGTAGGTGGGACAACGTGGCTTTGATCTCGGCGACGGAGCTGGCGTTGAATATGTCGGGTTGTGGCGGAGGGGATGTCCCTGTGGGTGAGGTATTGATGCCTGGAGGGCTTTGGGATATGGCATCATGCCCATTGGCGGTTGCAGCCATTCTGGGCGCCATTGGTTGTCGCAAGTTGGTTTGTTGATGCCACGCCAGTTGTAGGGAGGTTGCAGGCGGTGAGAGTTGGTTTTACAGCTTCAAGCTTGAAGTTACTGTGCTACTTCAAGACCAACGGGAGTTTGGGACTCTGAATTGCTAAAACAAATAGAACTTGCCATACGTGCCTTGGACTTTTTCTTTGTACTTTGTTTGTCCTTTTATCTGGTGTTTTGATGTCGTTGTGAATCAGGCCGACGTCATTTTTCCCCACGCGCGCGATCCCATATCAATTGCTCTTTTTCTGTTTCCTTTCCTTTTTTTCCCCTGTTATCCTTCTCTGCTGCTCTTTTAGCGACCTTCATCTAAAAGTCTCAAGATTTGACTTTTTATCTGTCAAGCCCTCAACCGCCATCATCGGACGTCGCAAACCTAGACGTCCAAACCGGCGCACCATGGGCAACGAATCATCGACCCAGGTGGATGAATCCACATCCCCCACGGTGCTTGAGGCGCGCAACATCGAGGCGGTGGCCAAATATGTTAAACAGCATAATGTGAAGAAAGTTGTGGTAATGGTATGCAGCGTGAATCTCCAGAAAACAGTGCATTGAAGCTAACCAAATGCAGGTGGGAGCGGGCATCAGCACTTCAGCAGGCATACCAGACTTTCGCTCACCTGACACGGGAATCTACGCCAACCTGGCAAATCTAGATCTACCAGAACCCGAGGCAGTCTTTGATATTAGTTTCTTCCGGCAGAATCCCAAGCCTTTCTATGCGCTGGCGCACGAGCTTTACCCCGGACGCTATCGCCCGACCATTGTGCACTCATTTGTGAAACTACTTTACGACAAAGGGATGCTCTTGAAGCATTTTACTCAAAACATTGACTGCCTCGAGCGCCAGGCAGGTGTGCCAGGCGAGAAGATCGTCGAGGCCCATGGCAGTTTCGCGTCACAGCGCTGCATTGAATGCAAGGAGACCTTCCCGGACGACGAGATGCATCAGATGGTATCTACGGGCGAGGTACCCCACTGCCACAAGTGCAATGGCCTAGTCAAGCCGGACATTGTATTCTTCGGCGAAGCTCTACCATCCGACTTCTTTGATAGCCGCTTTCTGCCAGAGGAAGCCGATCTTTGCATTGTCATGGGAACTAGTCTATCCGTCCAGCCATTTGCCAGTCTGCCTTCGTTCGTTGGTCAGGGTGTGCCTCGCGTTCTCATCAACATGGAGCGTGTCGGTGGCCTTGGATCGCGAAGTGACGATGTGTTGGTGATTGGGGACTGTGATGCTGGTGTGCGCAAGTTTGCAAAGGCTATGGGATGGGGAGAGGAATTGGAGGCGTTGTGGGAGCAAAGCAATCCAGACCCGCAGAAAAGAGCGGAGGAGAATGCCCCGCTACAGACGCGAGATGAACGGCTGCAGGACGAAGTGGACCGACTAACGGAGGAGGTCGATCGAACTCTGGGGTTGACAGATGCGTATCAGAATAAAGTACGCGAAAAGCTGGAGTCACACGACAAGGCACACCGCCAATCTGAGGGTCTCGGCCATGTTTTTCCCCATTTGGCGCGTAAGCTGTCACATTGAGATGATTTCATGAAATGACTTTGATATGCAGAATAAGGCAGAAATAGGAGAGATCTTCTTTTATTACAGTGTGTATTATGTACATATATGGAGTGTGTAGATATTTAGGAGCTATGTGCTCCGTATGCGTATAGTAGGGATAACGTAGAGGATAACGTAGAGATAGTCGCGCCAAGAGATTAATCTCGCCGATCATCACGTTTGCAATCGTTTGCAGTCGGAACATACCTGATGGATGATTTAAATAACTAATATTCCTCAATTAATTCGGTATTGATACTATTTATAATATTCGACTGGAATAAGTAGAATATTTATAGTCCAAAGATGTCTACTAATTAAAAAAAAAAACAAAACACCCCCCTTTAGTCCCCATCAGCCCACCTTAGCCCCAATTGACTTTCTCAGTTTCTCTCCGACAGTCCAAAACAAGACATCTACACTTGCCCCACGTTATATTCTCCATATCGTCATTCTTCCCCCCTCCCACCTTTTTTTTTTCTTTCTTCTCTTATTTTCGTCCCATATACTTCATATTCATCATGGTTGGACTTGGCCCTAAGCACCCGCAATCCCGGAAGGGTGAGGCTCTTCCAATCCCTGGCTATATTCCTAAACTAACTATGTTGTACAGGGTCCATGCACGAGCTGCCCCAGAACTTGTTGGAGCCTATTAAGGAATTCGAGAAGGCTTTCACCGTCGATCGCTCCAAGCTTAAGGAGATCGTGAACCACTTCGTCAAGGAGCTTGAGAAGGGTGAGATCACTTATCCGCAGCTCCCCGATTATACGCATCGCTAACAAAAATAGGTCTGAGCGTTGAGGGCGGCAACATTGTGAGAACGACTTCATTATCCCGACCTTAACATCCACTGACCTAGACAATAGCCCATGAACGTTACCTGGGTCCTGGACTTCCCCGATGGACATGAGCGGGGTACCTACTTGGCCCTCGATATGGGCGGCACCAACCTACGTGTTTGCGAGATTACCTTGACCGAGGAGAAGGGCGCCTTCGATATCACACAATCCAAGTATAAGATGCCCGAGGAGCTGCGGACTGGAACTGCCGAAGAGTTGTGGGAGTACATCGCCGACTGCTTGCAGCAATTCGTCGAGACCCACCACGCCGGAGAAAACCTCACCAAGCTGCCTCTTGGTTTCACTTTCTCCTACCCCGCCACACAGGAGTACATCGATCACGGTATTCTGCAGCGCTGGACCAAGGGCTTTGACATTGACGGTGTCGAGGGTAAGGATGTCGTTCCCCCTCTGGAGGAGGTCTTGAAGAAGCGGGTATGTATATCCTTGGGATGGTGCCACCCTCCCCATTCAGATCTAGGTTCAGAAGACTTACAAGGCTACAGGGTCTTCCCATTAAAGTTGCAGCCCTTATCAACGACACCACCGGTACCCTCATTGCTTCCTCTTACACCGACTCCGCCATGAAGATTGGCTGCATCTTCGGTACCGGTGTCAACGCCGCATACATGGAGAACGCAGGATCCATTCCCAAGATTGCCCACATGAACCTGCCCGCCGATATGCCCGTCGCCATCAACTGCGAATACGGAGCCTTCGACAATGAGCACGTGGTCCTGCCCCTCACCAAATACGATGACATCATCGATCGCGACTCCCCCCGCCCCGGCCAGCAAGCCTTCGAGAAGATGACCGCTGGTCTGTACCTCGGCGAGATCTTCCGTCTCGCACTAATTGACCTGGTCGACAACCGCCCTGGTCTGATCTTCAACGGCCAGGATGTCACCCAGCTCCGCAAGCCCTACCTGCTCGATGCCTCCTTCCTCGCCCACATCGAAGAGGACCCCTATGAGAACTTGACCGAGACCCTGGATCTCTTCGACAGCAAGTTGAACATCCGCCCCACAGAGCCGGAACTGGAGCTTATCCGCCGTCTCGCCGAGCTGATCGGTACCCGTGCCGCTCGTCTGTCCGCGTGCGGAGTCGCCGCTATCTGCACCAAGAAGAACATCGAGTCCTGCCACGTCGGTGCTGACGGCTCCGTCTTCACCAAGTACCCCCTCTTCAAGGAGCGTGGTGCCCAGGCTCTGCGTGAGATCCTCGACTGGGCCCCTACCGAGAAGGACAAGGTCTCCATCCTGGCTGCCGAGGATGGTTCCGGTGTTGGTGCTGCCCTGATTGCTGCCCTGACACTCAAGCGTGTCAAGGCCGGTAACCTCGTTGGTGTCCGTAATATGGATGACATGAAGACCCTGCTTTGAGTGGGACTAGTTTTGTAGTGGTGATGGTGACTATTACTATTATCTGATCCATGACAAGACAAACCCTTACCGATGGGTTGGAGTATATCTTTTTTTTTAAATTGTGGTGCCATCTGATTCGGGGGGTTTGATGAACGTTTTGACGATATCTCAATCCTGTGTATGTTAGCCTTGGAAGGCTTTGTGAATAGAATATTCATAGTGCTATTATTCCCCTTGGTAACCATGTATTGTAGCCATAGAATATTCATAGTGCTATTATTCCCCTTGGTAACCATGTATTGTAGCCAGTATCACATGGTCTCGATCATCTGTTGCCTGACCTACTTTCCTACTTATATTCATATAGATTAATTGGCACCAGCCTGTATGATTTAAGCATAAGACATCCATGGATAACATTCTGTTTTAGCTCTGCATTGTCATGTCATCGTTTTCTCTTCGGCAACATTCGCTTAGTGGGCTTTTTTTTTTAAACATCCCTCGTGTATATATCTCAAAAGTTATGTATCTCAAAAGATAGCCCAAAAGACATCTCATGATTTCATCCACCCATGCCCAGGTCCCTTCACCTCTTGCTTCCTTCTCTTCCCATCTCTACAAGATACTTAACTATTTTGAATCGACTGCCAAAGAACCACTAATAACATGCAAAGAATAAAAAGAATGCAAGCGGTATAAAACCCCGAAACTCTGTTACCCGAACAGACAGATTTGTCGTCACTATACTGTTCTATAGAGAACATGCTGGATTGCAAACAATATCAAAAATAAAACCGTGTTCCTGCTCAAAGCTGAAAGCCATACATATCATGATGATAAACGGGCACGTCCACGGGTGAGTGGCAACTACCGCTCATGGACATACACCTCGGTTTATTGTGAAGCCATATACCGTGGGAGCTACACATCTGGGTTATGCGACGCCTGGGATGCGCAACCACGTGCCCTTCGCTACAGCACCAGGGAATGACTGTCTTTACATTGCTACCATCATAGCTAGCCTCGTGCTACTTGTTATTGCTGGCATTATGGCTTGGGTAGTTTACATCAGGTACTGTGCAAAGCAGTACGTTGAACATGGATATCTACAATATAGTCATTACTACTGGCAAGCGTGGAATCTCTAGCTGAAGTGGCTAGATCCAGAAGAAGGCCCGGCTTACGCAAGGCCCTCCGCATTTGAGCTTTCTTTACCGACTACTTCAGCTTGTCAATGCGATGATCTTGGTCTAGTCGCCAATGTATTTCACTTGCTCGCATTGGCATATGACTCTCGAATCTAGAGCCAGTTGTTCGACTTAACCATAGCAAACGGTCTTTGTGATAATCTCGAAGAAGTTCATGGCAGACACCTCTCGGATACCAATCTTCGTGATACCAGGAGTATTCCCCAGCAATTTACATTTGGGTGGGAGGACCGACTTTGATATTTATTTCAGCTATGAGTTGGCCTCCACTATCAGGTTGTATATAACAAAGAAAGAAACTACAAATGGCCAAAACATGATCAATTGAAGATATAAAACATCAGAACACGACCTACCTACATACGAGACACACCTATATAATAACCAAACCCATCTAAAACCACATCCTTACACCCTAGCATCCCCCCTAAACCCCCGAATCCTCCTGATCAATATTAAAAGCCGCATCGTAAGCATTCCAAGAATCACAATTCTCCCCAAGAGCCTGTCGATCAATCAACGGCTCAATCTCATCCTCCCTCTCCAAAAACTGCAATGCAAACCCTTCATCTGTATGCCACCCAATATGACAATGCATAAGCCACGCCCCGGGATTATCAGTCTCGAACGCAATAAGCAAAAACCCATTCCCGTTCAACATAGCCGTATCCCTCCGCGGCGGGTTATTAGTCGCAACACTCCCATTCCACGGATTCGACCCTTGCGCCAAAATAAAGAAATCATGTCCGTGTAAATGAATCGGGTGCGACACCGGGAAACTGGTGTTGATCATGAGATACACCCACTCGTGCGCCCGTGGCAGCTCAATCACGCCACTCGATGTCGTGAAATTGGGTGTATTTTCGTTGTTGAAGAGTTGCAGTAAAGTCGGGTCTTCCCAGACGACTTGCATCGTTGTGCTGTTGAGATACCACCGGAAGAGATTCGCGCTGTTGCGTCCCAGTGTCACGTCTGTTAGGTTGTTCCAGTCTGCTGCTGAGACGGTTTTGGGAACTTGTGGTACGAGGCTGGTGACGGGCTCGTCGATACATTCGTCTAGGAAGGTGAAGGGGTTTGTTGTTGGTGGTGTGCTTGGACTGTTTCCGTAGTACATTATTCCTCTTATGTTGTCTGGGTTTGCGTTTTCGGAGCATGCTTCTTGGGGAATTGCGCGGATCCAGAATGAGTCGGAGATTTGGCGTTGGTTTGCTGTTACGATTACATCGTAGCGTTGGCCTGGGGGGATTCCTTTTTGTTAGTTGTTGCTTTTTTTGCCTGTTTGGAAGAGGAGGAGGGTTGGTGTTAGAGATGGGGGTTTGATATCAAACAAATAAAACATCACATACCCATTCCGATATCTATATAATTCGCTGTATACGGTCTGATCGGCACAAAGTCCGCCGAAATGACAGTAAGCGTATGATTATCAATCATAAACTTCCAGTGCGTATCGACAGCCGAATTAACAATCCTCAGTCGATACGAAGACCCCTGATCAACCTTCATCTGGAACCGTGTGCCTGTAGAATTGGTCCCATTCCCAAAGACATTTGTTCCGTTAATCAGGCCAGTATCCAAAGTTGGTGGTCCAACTGTCTGAGCCTCCAAATACAACTCATCAACAGTGGGATGCGACCAGTCCGTCAGGAACAAACTGCCCTTATCGACCTCGTAGTTCGCTGTAGCAGGACCGTTGATCACAATCCCGCCAAACACCCCTTCCCACGCCTGCAGTCCAATGTGCGAATGATACCACGATGAACCGTACTGCGCAGCCCGCCATTTGTAGGTTATGGTTGAGCCGGGGGCTGTGGGACATTGTGTGATAGAGACCACACCGTCGTTGCCGTTCGTGAAGTTCTGCCTAATTCCATGCCAGTGGATACTTGTTCCATTCTGGGATTTGTGAAGGCTGTTTGTGACGTGGATCACGACCCAGTCGCCCCAGTTGGCCAAGATAGTTGGGCCCGGGATGGTCCCGTTCACGGCCATTACTGGTCGGCTGAATCCATCTGGTGCGGCTTGTAGCTCTTCGAGGTTGAGCCAGTACTCCCGGGTTACTCCTGTGTTTGGTACTATCTGGGTGTAGTCGGTGTTGATATCGTACTGGCACCATTTAGACCGTGTTCGGGGTGTATTGCCTGCACAGGGTTTTCCTGTTGGCTTGTTGATATTGGTGGTTCTGGATTTGGTACTGGTTGGCGTGGGTCTATGGTATTGTGGTTGGATATTCACTGAATCAACAGGATCATGTGGAATGGCCGCGACAGAAGCACTCAGGCTAAATGCTAGGAGAAGAGCTTGGAACTTCATGACTGCCAGTTTTACCCACGCAGGGCACTTGTATAGCGCTCAATTCTCTTTGGGTCACGAATAAAGCTCTATTTAGAGCTTTCAAGACCGGAAACCCAAAAGAATTCGAGTATAAGAAAACAAATGAGACTTGCTGATACACAATCAAGAGAACTGTCCTCTATTTAAGCCAGTATCTTATATATCAGAATCATACAGCACGAAAAGGGGAGGTTTGGCCAGGATCAAGAACGCCATGTCTCTTTTTACGAGGTGTCCTGCATTCGTACCTCCTCACTAGGATAGGCCGGGCAGCCCTACCGGTGATGCCGTGGGAAACATGATCTTGTGATACACAATGCGACCTGACAGACGAATAGGAATGGCGAAGCGTCATCCTCATCGTTCTGCTCGGGTGTTGAGGCTATTTTCTCAGTGGATACCCGGGTAGTAAGATCAAGACGCCCCGTAGGCCATCCGCCATTCGAACCGTAGGAATATGGTCGGTTCGGGGGTCTTCCCAGCGGCTGGATCGTTGCGCTGTCTATCATACCACATGCGCACTGGCTGTTTTGAGTCTGCAGATATTCGCTACTGCCTGTTCTCTCGTAAGAGTACTATCGAGAAGATGGAGAGCGTGGATATTCCATGCAACTAGGGCTGTGTGTCTCGGATTGTCAAATCAAAAGCTTGTAAAGAGAGCCAATGACGGAGATTGAACATCGGGAATCTTATTTCCTAGTTCGATCGCAGTCAGATCGGTTCGCAGGGCCTGTATTAGGGTTATGCTCCCCGACGCGCTGTCCTGTTATATCTTGGTGTAACCCGTTTCAGCCTCAGAGTATACGAGTGCCCCACGTGTGTGGCTTGCGAATTAATATTGCTATCTCGCATGATGTTTCCGTATTTTTTTTTCTTCTTTTGAGATTTCAGCTGGTCTCTCTAGGATTGTTGATTATCGTGAGAGTCTTGACGCAGCGCATGCATGGTGAGTGGATGATGGATCTGACCATTGGGGATGTAATAGCCGGGGTCTGCATTTCAACATGGAACACAGCCAGATGATGACAACGGGGGTGTTTCTCCTTGACTGGGATCATGGGAATGAGGTTGCAAATTACGTATCATCGTCAGCTCGTACCGGTCCAAATCACAAAAGGAGGCTTGGATCACAATCTTGGGAAATAAAGAGAAGGACCAGCAATGGGAGCCACACATGTCATTGGATAATTCCTAATGTGCTGTCTGCTTCTAATTACACCAACTGTTATCTCATCAACTATGCCCTCGTGACTTCTTTCTGTTCTATAAGTTTTGCTTAATCCTGACATACTGCCGTATACACCCCCTTCCAACATATTGTATGACTTGTTTATCGCAAGATGCTATTTCTTTCTATTCTTCTTCTAGCCTTTGGGCTAGTTTGCTCTACACACCCACTTGAAGAGCGACAATTAAGGACAACCGAGCCTTTCAAGCTGTATGCGTATGGCCCAGGCATTAGCGGACTGCCTGTCTTCTATAGGAATGGTATCAAATCCACCTCCCAAACCACCAAAATCAGCAGTCTTGACTGATCCATATCACCTTGACAGGTACTGCTCAAGTTGCAGATGAGTCTAAAGTAGACACAGCCACAATGGCCGCAATGACCCCAATCAACTGTAGGAACCGAAGCCCTTCACCCCATTGGAAAACCACAGGAATCCACAGATATACATCTAACCATATACATATAATAGTCACTGCCGCTACTGGAAACACCTTTGTTGCACACCCCAGTAACAGCACCAGTTCCACCGAGGACTTCACCACCCTCTCGACCAATACCAACATGCTGTGTCTAGACCGAGGCAATACCGACTCCAACCCAGTTGGATTCACCGGCGCACCCGCAAGGGAGCAATCCAACACAACTAGGCTTAGCAACGTGTGGTCCACGTATGGGAGCTACGTCCTAGTCACCGTGACCGGGGCCAACTTTTACGCAAGACAAACTGGCACGGACGGCTTGTACTCTCTGCTTTGGAGTAGCTCGGCTGAGGCGATGACGGATACTATACCTCTAGTGCTACGGACTACTGAGCCGGCGACGGCCTCTGTATTGACTTAGCCGAGCTGGGTTTGGATATCTTGGGATTTAGGGGAGCAGAGGGGAAGGAGAAGGGGGTTCTCGATGCGTAGCGGGAAGTGGTATGGTGTGTGGCGATGTAGTGGATCGATCTCGGATCTACCTACCCAGAGATTATATTGAATACGATGTCATGCAGTTAGTAATTTGCTACCACGTATCATGTCTTTATGTTGTCTAGGCTACATTGCGGGGGAGGGGAAGACAGGGGTTTAACCAGCGCTTACTATATTATATCCGGCATATAGGCTGCATTCGATTATTCCAGAACATGGGAGTCCCATATTTTCTAAATTGTTAGATGTAGGTCAATTGGAAATATCTCTCTCTCCAAGGATATGTGATTGGAAAACGCCAATCTCAGAAGCACCGATGGCGCTTCGGCCATTCACTACATGTAAGCCAAAATATATAGCACTTACTTGAAGTTTCGATTTGGAATTGCAAGTAGAAATCAAGGGCTGGATATGGCAATGAAAGCCGAATCAATAGATAGACCTCCATAGACAAGTACCAACCACATATCATCGGGCAGCAACCGACATGAGAACCCAATAGCAAACATACCAAGGAACGTAGATTCAACAAATTGCTACATAACCCTATAGCTGATATATGCATGGGGATAAATCGCACAGATTGTGATTGTGTTAGACAAACGAAAGAAATACATATACGAGACTTGCAGAAAATGCCCCATTGCTGTGCGTAGCCCAAGGGAGAGAGAAAGCCCAACAAACGATTATCAAGCAAAGTGTTGGTTGTGAAGAGGCCCCGGCATGAAACAAAGAATCCACAGGGAATAAAATAGAATAAAGAAACTAGGGGAAAAAGTGAAATCAGACCTAGAAAGCAAAGCAAGGCAGATTGACAAAGAAAGAACCTGATGCAAACGACAATTGATATCAAAAGCCAAAAGACAAAACTCCCCAGTTCTCCCAGACCCAGAAAACGCCAGAAATAACACGAAAACGTGATTCTTGAAAAAAAAGGAAAAAAGAAAAACACCGGATCTCCCATCCCGAACCCTTGGTAAATTGATATCCCGAATAACAAGAAAAATATAAAGCAGAATCCATTCTACTTCTCCCATCTGTACCGGTCGTCCCTTCTGCGAGACTAAACCCTTGTCGATCGTTTCCGCAGACCAAATTCTTGTTCCTGGAGCTCTCGTATTAAACGAAGACTTTCCTCGTCTGCATCTTCGTCCCCAGTGAGGTGTTGAGTATGCTTGTGCTGACGCGGAGACAAAGATGTAGGGGCATGACGATGGAAGTGCTTTTCATACATCGGAGAGCTCTTCTTCGCATGTGAAGATGAGGGACGTGATGAAGGCTTTCTTGTCGATGTTGGAACAGGAGTGGTCTTGCGTGCCCCGATCGTGGAAGATGGGGCTTGTGCCGCCGGCTTCGGAGCCCGGGCTGTAGTTGCATCAGGCGCGAACCGATCGACGTGTCGAGGTTGGCGAGACGAATGTCGAGAACTGGAGTTGGGTGTGTGAAGAGCAGTTGACACTTCCCCTTCCACAGACTGGACGGCCTCTCCCTCTTGGACCCCATCCATTTCGTCGGCCAGCGACGTGGGCGGTGATACCAGGGAGGTGTTTGGCTTGGATGAAGACACAGACACGGAGTTTAATTCCTTTGCATCCAGGGACTCGGCCTGAAAAGCAGGTGGTGATGCGTACAATGCTTGATTCTGAGGTGCCTGATCTGCCTCAGGCAGATGCTTAGCTGAGTCAATTTGACTGAAAGGCTCGTGATCATAAGCATCCATCAGGTCGTCTTGCGCCATTAGTTCATCACCATCATGATCGAAGAATACAGCAGGCTGTGTCATGGGTGATGTGCTTTCCTGCTTCGTTCTTTTGGCCGTGGAAGGCATGTCATCCTCTTCGGCAGGGCGTGCTCGTTTGGCGGAAGCATTCGCACGAGGTTTAGAGCGCTCCTGAGCCTTGATTGGATCTATCCGACCGTACTCATCGTGGATGCAACGGCGCTGGTGTTAGGTTAGTAAAACGAAAAGGAGTGAAAGAAGCGTTTGGGAGGAAGGGCTATCACAAACCTTGCTCTTCCGACAATCATCGCACGCCTTGCTGCGGCCCTTTTTCCCTCCATTGGCTCCGTCAGGGCTCACATCAACGAGACGATTGGCAGCTATCGTGGAGGTGCCCATAACCGCGGATTGAAATCGTGCCGAGCTTTCGAATCGCTCCAGGTCAACAAGATGCGCATTGTTTTGGAACCCAGTTTGCGATGCAATCGCTGCCAAAGAATTCAAAGCAGAGACAGCATCTTGTGCCAAGGAGGATGGCGTGCTCACCCCAGAGCCCGGTGTGAAGGCATTGACTGCAACTTGCCCATTGAGCATCATATCACCGGGTTCATCTTTGTGTCGGCATCGGATGCGTCGTTTGCGACAGGCGTCACATGCAACTCGCTTGGGACCAAGACCCGACGCTCGCTGCACAGTCCGGGGTTTGGGTGTAGCAATATCTTTGATGTTCGTTTCTGGAGCAATACTGAATAATGGCGCAGGTGTTGCACTTCCATCAGATTGTGTATAAGCAAGGCTGCTGGATGGGAGATTTGGAGTTGCAGGGGCCTCTTCTGAAGGCCACTGAACCGCTTGTCTCTCGGCATAGGTGCGTTGGTTGTCGACGTTGCGTTCAGATCGGCGGCTTGGTCGCCCTGCAGGCTTCTTGTCCGCAATAGAAACCTTGTGATTGCTTTCGATGACGCCAGGTCGAGTCCAGAGGGGCGCTTTTTCGTTACCACGCTTCCAGGCGACCCAAATTCCGAATTTCCTGATCATGTCCACGGGATCTCCCGTGCCTTTGGGGATGGAGCGTCTGACTGCGTTTCGAACGTCCATGGAAACGACTCCATCAACGGTATAGCCACTTGCAATGAGTGCAGTCCGTAGCAAATACTTAGTTAACTCAAGTAAGCCCTCCAACTCCGCCTGTGAATAAAACCGTGCATTGTGATGGGGAGAACCTGGAGGTTCCTGGTTGGCGCGTTCTCCAAACTCGTAGTAGATTGGATACTGACGGTGGAACCGATAGTTCTCATCTTGCATGAATGCTTCCATCACATTTGGCGGGACGGGGTCATCCTCCAGATACTTATGAGCCGTATACCACTGGATCTTTTGGAAGAAAGGGTATCGGAACTTCTTGGGGACTTTGGTCTCCTTTTCGATGTTGAGGATCTTGATTTGCATTCCATAGTTCAGTTTGGTCAAGAAATTGCCACCAATAACCAAACTGTTTTCTGGGGTCCAAACTGCGTGAATCCAGCCGGACGGAATCAGCATGGTGTCTCCCTCGGAGAGATCCACGCGGTAGCATTCCTTGGTCTGGTTTCCAAGGAAAATCGAGTCCTGAGCAGGAGAGTTGCACCACTCCTCGTACTTTTTGAGGTGTTTGTCTTTGGGGGGAATGAAGAAGAAAGTCTTCTTGCCCTTCAGGATATGGTAGTATACCGAAGATCCTCCAAAGTCGATGTGAAAGTCGGTATAGCAGTCGGCAACAGACATCAAGCAGTAGAACTGAACTTTGGGATATTCGCCAATTGCTTTCAGTTCCTCGGGCCACACAGCATCTTGCAGATCCAAGTCACGCACAACCTTCGGTCGCCGGATGAGTCTGCCAAGTTTGCTCTGCGATACCTCCAAGCTGATGACATTCCGGACAGGCTTGTCAGGCTCATTGCTTTCGTAGTAATCGGCCCATTTCTGCATGTTCCACCTTTTGTCCTCTCCTTGCTGAGACTTGACATCGATCACTTCAACCCTTTCTTCAGGTCCGTAAAGCTCTGCTACAGCACGGACGGTGAGACCCTGTGGAATGACCATACCCAAAAGGTCTTGACCACAATCAACAGTTTCTTCAATATGGGTCTCTTGCCCTGGGTGGTTCTCAAGAAGATCATCGAACATTTCTTGAGACGAAGCCTCTTGTACTAGAGATTCAAAGTCTGAATTCTCCGAGGAAACAGGCTCGCAGGAGTTCCAGCAGGCAGGTATCACAATAGGCTCCGTCCACCCATTTCCTCGTTCGAAGTATTCTGCTGTGACCAGCTCAGGCTTCATTCGGGGAAAATTCTCAGGTTGAAATCGGATCTTCCCTTGTCGAATGGGCTCAAGGTAGTGATGTTCCAACGAGTCAGTGGCAGCTTTGACGAGGCCTTGGTTCAGGCCTGCGTAGTCAATAGCTGTCCGGGCCCGCGAGGACTTGCGGACGAAAGTTGTTTGCCCATGAACTGATCGACATTGACGACAGATAAACTTGTCGACTGTGCGAACCTCTCGATCATTCTTGAAGCCGGCGCAAATGATATGGAACCATCGTTTGCATCCATCGCAACTGATCCACGTGTCTTCGTCCTGTTCCTCGGTCTCAACTGGGATGCGCACTAAATGACATGCCCCACAGATTGCTTGGTTGGTATCGCCCTCTTCCTCTTCCACTTTTGGTGGAATGGGTAGGGGCTTTGGGGGGAATCGAGGTTCTTGGGGGTCGGCCGGAGGATGGGCGCCATAAGCAGTATGATGAGGCGTATCAGCTGGTGAGTGCCAAGCTTTGCCTTCCTGCTCATCCTCCCAAACGATTGGCGGAAAAGTGCCAGAGCTAGTAGTTGGGCGGATTCCACGGATCGCAGGACGAGATATGAAGGCTGACCCGTCAGAGCGAGAGCGCATGCGGGCGTAAGGGATATCCTCAGAATTGTGATTCATCTTGACATCGCCCTGGTCAGGGTGTCCAACGGCAGCAAAACCAACTCGAGATTGACGAATTGCATCGCCTGCATAATGGTGGTAGGTCTCGTCGATGCTGACTCGTTTAGTGTGGTTGCCCGGGTGGAAATTGGTAGGCCGCGCGAGATTGAGTAAAAGCTCTGCATCGGTTGTCATGCTTGTCATGCTTTCAAGCCCAGCAGGGCGTGGGTTTTCTGTCAGCATTCCTGACCGCGGGCGGTAGGGCGACGGATTTCTCGCCGACCGTGCCCGCTTCGCCGGTCGTTCAGACTCTGCGGAGTCAGGTGGAAATAAGGGAATTGTCGACCGAAGGTTGGGGGAAGGAGGATTGGGAGGGAGTGATGCGAAGGTAGGACTGGTTGCGAGGGCGATCGTCGCAAGTGTGTCGATGGTCGAACTTGAGCGGCCATGCCCCGATCGCTGGTGTGAACCACCTTCTGCGGCGACATGTCGATTGTGATTCGAAGGACGCTGATCGCGATCGAGACTGGCAGCTCGAGGAGGGCCGCGGTTGACCCAAGAGGAGTGAAAATCCGTGGTTGTGGATGGAGTGATAGGTTCGACAGCGCGTAGAGGAGGGGACGGAGTACGGTACTGCGGCGGGCGACCGCCGATGGGATTCGCGAATGATGCCGCGCTCATCATTTTCGCAACCCAGTGAAAGTGTAGGTGAAAGAAAATGAAAGATGAAGTGTCGGAGGTGCGAAAAGATGCGCTTGCGGTAGGTGGGTGCAAAGCGGGGATACTGGACCACACGGGCTAGCGAGAGGCCGGCGCAGGCGAAGGGAATGTCATTCCTGGCAGGAGAGCATGCGCACAACGGACCGCAAGTTTATGATTGATATTTGATGAAAGATTGAGGGCGAAGTAGGTGGTCGACGGTGATCGCGGAGCGTTGAGGGGGTTCAAATCGAGCGGCGGGAGGACAAAGGCGCCGAGAGTCGCGCCGCAACCTGCGGGCAGGTAGGGAAGGGAATCGAATGAGGTCCAGTAGCCAGGAATCGTTTCCTGCCAACTGGATGGGAAATGACAAATATGCGAATGGATGAAGCGCCGAAAGCGAGAGAGAAGCGGATGAGCGCGAGGTGTTGGGGCAAAGGAGGAAGCGGGAGTCGAGTAGTAGCAACTTTGAAGGTATGTATACGGTACAGCTGCGGGCTGCTACATTACGTTGTGTCCTACTAGCACTGTTTACTATAAAGGATTTAAATTGCATATATCAGAGATGAAGATCAAAAGGTACTCATTATAACATGCGATTGCGTTTACTTGGTTGTTTTCCCCCCGATGCTCAATTCTCTGTAGTCCAAAAGAAGTTGGCAACGCCGAGAGCGTCCGTCTTGATGATACAGTCCGATACCATCACGATACCATCACGTGCAAAGTTTGGCCGATCACTACACTCATATCAATCACATGACCTGGTCACATACGGTTTACGAACCAACTGCCACTAAGCCGCGATAAGTAAGCGCACTGCCAAGACAAACCTCGTGGTTGTCCTTGCGCCTTGCTCGGATCTTCTGTCTCTTCGCTATTCCAACACTGCAACTGATACCTTGCGTATCTTTCTTGTCAACACTTTCATTCAACATATTCTAGGACTCTCTCGCCTCTGAGAATGAGCCGAAAGCTCGCCCCCGAAGCCAATCGGTACGTGAGAATACTTTTTCCATGCCCCTCCCCCGATCGTCGACACAAGTGCCATTTCGCCATCAACTGCTTGATCGTTGGGTCTTGCAGATCCCTGTCATTTAGAAGTGACTAGCGCTAACCTTTTTTTCTTCTTTAACAGGATTCTCTTCGTCAAGAACCTCAAGTACGTACCTGATCATTTCGATGCTTTGCTCCGGCTCGCTTCTCCGGCGGATCAAACCTGCAACTCGCCATTTACAATCGCGACCAGATCGCTGACATCTTTCTCAATAGCTACAACGTAACAGCGGAGCAACTGTTCGACCTGTTTGGCAAATTTGGCCCCATTCGGTAATAGCCACCCATAGTCTCGTGTGTCGGAACCCGATCTAATACCATTCCATTTGCAGTCAAATTCGCCAGGGTATCGCCAACACTTCCAAAGGAACCGCATTTGTCGTCTACGAGGACGTTCACGACGCCAAACAGGCATGCGATAAACTCAATGGTTTCAACTTCCAGAACAGATACTTGGTTGGTACGTATTGCATATGGATCCAATGAGCACTGAGATTATTTGGAGATGACTAACTTTGGGTGTTATCTATAGTCTTGTATCATCAGCCAGAGAAGATGGTCCGTACGAAAGAGGACATTACGGAAAGGCAGGAGAATTTAGAACGGCTCAAACAGCAACACGGGATAGAATGATGTGACGAATTCTTTTTCTCTTCCCTCTGCTAGCATTTAGCTGCGCGTGGTATTGCAACGGCTTTACTATTCAACCGCGGATTGGTTGAGGGGTTTCCGGCGTTTTTATTCCCTGGGTTTTTTTTTCTTATTTCAGAGGGTTTGATGGTGGGCGAGGCTGGTTCTGGTCGTCATATATTGACCCAGAAATGATCGTGTTACAACACGCCGGCGAGATCTGATTTCTTCTTATGTTTATTCTATTTAACCATTACTACTATTACTCTCTTCGTCAATTCGACCCTCCACTTTGCTCCAACATTCTGTGTGCCATAGCTAGATGCTAGGTGCGAGGGTTTCTGCGTGTGCCATACTACTGGAAGTGACAAAGTAGTCGAGTCTTGAGCTGTTTTCGAGCTTTGTATCATCTGAATCTACGGTATCAAGCTAAATCTAGGGTCCATCTATCTAGGTAAGGCTGGCGCATCACTTAGAGGTACCCACTCTTCTGCAGGGGAATTTTAAGCTTGGCATCGACTTGGACTATGTGTATAAAACAGATCAAAATCCAAGATCCAAGTAAATAATAAAATAAGAATATCATGCCAAGACTAAAGACCCTTAAAATAGCCGGACTGGCATCCAAAAACCCTGGAAGGGAAATGCTATCGGCCTTGTCGATCCCGCTGCGGGGATCCTGACACCGCCTAGGGCGCAGCACCCTGCAAACTCCCTTTCACTTGACCCTTATTCTGTTTCCATATCCTGTTTTTTTTTTTCTTTCTTACCCCCTCAGAAAGGAAATCCTTTTTACAAGTTCAGGCTTGTTCCTACTCATCCGCTCATCTGATTCATTGCCACTCACCTCGATGTCACGCGTATGACGTTCGGCTGTCTCCGCCTTTGATAAACCTTCCAAGTTCCAAGATTGGCGCTTACTGTGACTACCATCTGGTTTCCAGCATATGTCGCGTTCCAACTGAGATTCCTCACTATCTTTCTGGTTTTACCAGACTAAGAAATGATGGACACCGCGACCAGCTCGTTAGCTTCGATAGCGACGACCGCACTCATCGCGGCCACCACTCCAACTCCCTCTGGTGTACACACAATATACTATCATGGAACAAATTCTTCAAGCCCAGGGCAGGATCCAAATGACGAAGGAGGTGAATGCAAACTACTTGGTCCATTCTCTGTGTTTGTTCAGATTGCCCTTGGTGGCCTCGCATTATTATCTCTAGTCTATAAGAGATGGAGAGAACGACCGCAGCGCCCATTGAAGATTTGGGCCTTTGACGTCTCAAAACAAGTCTTCGGATCTGTAATGCTTCACATGCTGAATCTGGTCATGTCGATGTTTTCTGCGGGTCAACTGGAAATTCGAAGCTCATACAAGCCGAACCCATGCTCATTCTACTTACTAAACCTGGGGATCGACGTGAGTTTCTCCTAATATTGCTTTGATATCTTTTTGTGGAGCTTCTGGCTAACAGATACAACAGACAACCCTCGGTATCCCCATTCTGATTCTCCTTCTCCGTGTTCTCAACTATTTGGTATCCTACACACCTCTTGCAAACCCCCCAGAATCGATAGAGTCGGGCAATTATGGCCAACCCCCACGCGTAACATGGTGGCTCAAACAGGCCATCGTTTATTTCATGGGATTGCTCGGTATGAAGATATGCGTGTTCTTCCTCATCGAGCTCCTACCTTTCATTGTCAAGGTCGGCGACTGGGCTCTAAGGTGGACAGAAGGCAACACTGCTGTCCAGATCTTCTTCGTCATGCTTCTTTTCCCCGTCATCATGAACGCCATCCAGTATTATATCATCGACATATTCATCAAAAAACCAGTCTCGCAATACACAGTGGATGACACGGTCGGAGATGCTACCACAGACGATGATGCTCATCGTCGGGAGGCTCTTCTTGCTGGCCTGGACGAGTCATATTCAACTGACTCTGATGATGAAGAACCCGGGAAATCTCCGAGAACCACATCGCAACCGAAAGCTACTGCGGACGCTCTCCAGGAATCCGAGCATTTACTTACTGAGGATCACAATCCTGTTCCTCCATATGAACCTCCGAGCTTGGGTAGCAGTGCTGATGAACATGACTCGAAAGCTAGTGTAACACATCGCTAAATATTGCTTTGTGTTCTGACTTTGGAATTTTCATACCTGCCTCGTTTTCAATATTTGGTGCTACTAGTAGTCTTTAACGTGTATACGATTTTTCGCTTTTGAATATTTGAATATTAATATGATTAACACCGTTTCCTCTGCTATATAGCGTGCATGCATATATTTAGGTTGCGCATTTGGATAACTGTTAGTTTTATTACTCGTAATCGAACCTTGGACATCCATTGAGATATTATGTCTCTTGCCACGTTTTTCATGTGAAAAACATCACTCTTTGTCTCATAGTATGTCTCTTCCCATCAATTTCTTCTAAGGAGGACGAAAAAGAGGTCATTTGGGTGGCCTTTGACATCCTGAATTGTCGCCTTAAATTAAAGGCAATAATATATGCCGCCTTCCACACCGCTCTGATCTGCCCATTCTGGAAAAATCAAAGAAGAAAAATATTCAAGCTCCGCCTGAGGAACATTCGCAGCCTAGAATTGCATTATTGCATTCAAGTATCTAATTCGGTGACCGAGTCTGCAAGCAGCTGTGCTTGATTGGCAGATATCCTCACACCAACCACCATGCCTAACGTAGGGCTAAAAGAAAAGTCCAAGCGGACGACCACCCGGTCTCCGTTCGAGAACACTACGGCCGATATCCGCCCGCAGGACTCAGATGTCGAGATGGGCGACGAAACTAGCTCGGATGAGGACGATGTGCCCGAGAAAGATGAGGCGGAGAAGAAGCTAGAGCGTATGCTTTTTGGCGACGATGAGGGGTTCATGGGCGCATTGAAGAACCAGCAGGACCGCGAGGCTGGTATGGCTCTCACTCTGCACAGTGATGATGAGAGCGATGCTAGCGAGGATGCCGAGGAAGGCGAGGGCCAGGATTTGGCTGCTCTAGCCGATTCAGACGTATGCGACTCTACTCCCATGCGTTTACAGATCTCTGGATTTCGATCTAACAATCTTGTTTTAATCTAGCTTTTCTTCCTTGACTCCGGTGCACCTCCCACCACTGATTTTATCCCATCCCCGGAAACCCCGTCGGACGCCGAGGACGACGAAGAAGATGACGAACCCGCAGTATGGTACGATAGCGACGACGAGCGCCTCGCCGTGTCGCTAGCAAGCCAAGCCAGACTCCGCAAACTGCGCAACACCGAAGCCGAAGATGTCGTCAGCGGCAAGGAATACGTCCGACGACTGCGCAGACAGTTCACACGCCTGCACCCGACACCGGAGTGGGCCACGCCTGAGCTCAAGCGCCGCAAGACGGACTCAGACTCGGGCAGCGAGGAGGAAATCGACTCGGACGACGAGAACGAGAACCTCTCCATGCAGCCTCTCGCGAAGCTCCTCCAAAACGCCTCCGACCTGACGCGCATAGAAGACAACGCGCGTTCCAACACAAAGCGCAAGCTGCGCCAGGAAGTCATCGACATCCATAGACTGAAGGACATCGGCAAATCCCAACCCTCGTCCGTCGACTCCCTGACCTTCCACCCGCACTACCCGCTCCTGCTCTCCTCCGGACCAGCCTCTACCCTTTTCCTGCACCACATCTCTCCCTCCGCACCCGCACCCAACCCCCTCCTCACCTCCCTGCACATCAAGCGCACACCAATCCACACGTCCGCCTTCGCCGCACCCACGGGCAACAAAATCTTCGCCTCGGGCCGCCGACGCTACTTCCACATCTGGGACCTGGACACCGGCAAAGTGGACAAAGTCAACGGCTCCTCCGACCGAAAGGAAGAGCAAAAGTCCATGGAGCGCTTCAAGCTCTCTCCATGCGGCCGCTTCGTCGGCCTAGTCGGCACAGCCCGCAAGGGCGGCGGTCTGATCAACGTCCTGGACGCCAACACCGCGCAGTGGATCGCACAGGTGCGCGTCGACGGCCGCGGCGGTGTCGCAGACTTCGCCTGGTGGTCTGACGGCGAGGGTATGACAGTCGTGTCGAAGAACGGTGAGGTCTCCGAGTGGGATGGACGTGTAGGCCGTGTTACTGCGCGCTGGGTCGATGCCGGTGCTGTCGGCACGACGGTTCTCAGTCTTGGTGGTCGCTCGGGCCGGACTCAACTTGGTGGAGATCGTTGGGTTGCGATTGGTTCTTCCAGTGGTATCGTTAACGTTTATGATCGTCGTGAATGGGCCGCTGCGTATGCGAAGGCTTCTGCTGCTGAGAAGGATTCTCCCGCTCAGTCGGGTATCCCGCGTAACCCTGACCCGGTGCGTGTGCTTGATCAGCTCACTACCCCCATTAGCCATTTGGTCTTTGCACCTGATGGACAGATGATGGTTATGGCGAGTCGGTGGAAGCGTGATGCTTTGCGTCTTGGTATGTTTTCTGAGTCTACTTGTGCTCTGTTTTTTTGCGTGTTTCTTTGCTAACTGTGTTTCTTTTAGTTCATCTTCCTACCTGCACGGTATACCGTAACTGGCCTACTTCCAATACGCCATTGGGTCGCATTTCCTCGGTAGCTATCTCACCAAACTCGGAGCAGTTGGCTGTTGGTAATGAGCAAGGTGGTATCCGACTCTGGGAAATTCGGGGATAGAGGCCCCGTACTGAATAAAATATTTATGTTTTCTTGTCATATATTTACTACCCCAATAGTGGAACATGTCTTTCATTCTGTTGTACTGTTGCAGCCTTACAATCCATGTAGTCCTTTAAGGTTGATATAGAGTTAGGGTTGGATCTCAACCGTTGCCTTGGCCTGCATACCAAGCATCATCCGAACCTCGTTCTACGGCAATATATTTTTTTAAAAAGCAGGGTAGCATCTAAGATTTACCCAAAATAAAACGCAATGGTACTTTCGTAATAGACCAATCGTTTTTTTGAGATTGTTCATAGCTTTCTAGCAAAGAG